ACGCAATTAAGAATTTAAATACTAAGTAGCACTACATCTACTAATTCTCCTCCCAACACGATTGACTTCAGATTCACACCGACAATAACGGGATATAATCAGACTGCTATGGCCTAATCCTAATATAGGCTTCATTAAAGGCAAGATTTTTTGTACTAAGATATCTTTATGAACCAGCTAACACAATATAACTAAAGAAAATGACATGACTTTCCACTAGTAATTCTTATCTAGTTAAACATGGTACTTTCACATCTCTCTGCTTTAAACGATTGGCCAATCCCATTGACCCTTGGGAGCTTCTTCAACAAGAGGTTCCCACGCCCGAGATTCGATTATTGCCCTCGTCGCCTCCAATTCGTACTCTGCCTAAAAAAAACCTCTATTCTTGTTGAATTTACTGCTCTTTTTGAGAATAGATAACAAGTAACTACATGATTTTACCAAGTGATTTTTTTTCAACAGAATTAACCTAAAAAAGGGTTTACCTGTTCAATCACTTCTTCAATCTGGCCCATACCAATCTTCTCTTCGAGCGCTGGGATACTATCTTCAGCTTGAACCAAAGCAAGGCGTTGTTTCACAATCTTAAAAGAAATTCTGAAGTTGTGAAAGTTGAATAAATCAAGGTAATTCAAAAACAAGGCATACCGCTTCTGTGTATTTTCTGTAGGCAGCTGTAGGTGGAATTTGCTCAAGCGCTTTCAATATACGGCAGTACACTACGGTGAGAGTACGGTGGGGATGTTCGTTCACAAAGAGTCCAGTGAGCCCCGTTGTCTAAATTGTAAAAAATCGAACATCACGATGAACTTCTTCTAAAATTCGAAATGCTAGAGGACTAAGCGACAATTTTGTAATGGCTAAGTATTTAAGTTACTTATACCAAAAAATAATGAAATGCAACACCGTAAAACTCCAACACATTTCTTTAAAATCGGATAGCTGGTTAAAACAGAAGCTGTATATACACATCGAAAGAAAATGTAACTGACACCTATCAATGAGTGTTGAACAGGTCTGAAATCAAGAATGGACTATAGATGTGAGCAGCATGCCAAGATGCCAAAACCCCGCCGTGTGAGCATGTCAAGCATACAGCGCGCGCTTTTTTGCTTATTGGTACGCAGACCGAACCGCGACCTCCTTTTTGCTAAGATAAACGTCACGCGATGAATTCATCGTGATTTTGATAATGGGATCTAATAAGATTGCTCGCTTTTCCGGACCAAGCGACAACGAAAGCGACCGTAGAGCAAATAGTTTGTGAGTGTTTTTACTCTTTTCTTCCTCTAGTTTAGTTTTTTTGACTCTTCTGAAGGTAAACTAATTTCTGTACTGTATCTCTATCTTTGATGGAAATGCGCGCTTCAGCCATATTTTACTGCTTTGTCTTCTAATCATAGAAAGATTTTTGATATCTCTACTCATATTTGTTTAAAATATGGAATCGCATTTGTTAAGATAGATAAGATGCGGCTGACGAGGGCTTCGTTAACTTATATAAAGACATTTGTTTGAAAAGAAGTACGTATCATTACGCTTATAGCCCAAAAGTCAGTACTGTTTGGATACTCAATATGTATAAGTATTTATTAATGCAAATCTTTTTATACAGATTTTATCTGGAAGGTTAGTTCAAAAGTATCAAAAAAAGGCTATATGAAATTATGAGTAAGTCTCAATGCTAAACTTTTGAGTGAGACCTTTAGTCGAAAGATTGTTCAACTAGGTCTAGATAAAACTGTTAA